AAAACACCCACGCATCTCTAAACCTTCCTGAAATCAGGACTTTTTGAGAAAACTGCCAACATTTCCTTAGGGATGGTTCACTTTCTAAAAAGGCCATTTAGTTCTCTCTGGAGTGATGGAAATAGAGCGTTCTTGCTCATTTTGCTTCTGAGAAATGAGCAAAAGCGGGACGGAAAACATGAAATTTTGGCACAATCTTGCACCTAAGTGTCTGATATTCAAATTTCGCTTTCTGTGTCAAAACTGCTTCACAGTTTCGAATGCCTATAGAACTGATGTTTGGTTATTTCTGGTCTGCTCTATTGAGATAACTCTTCTGCTTCGTATCTTCTAGCCCCAAATGCGTCTTTAACATGGTTTTCACATCTTGTTGTCTTCGTTTTCCATCTTCATCTCTTAAGCGAAACGTATGTCTTCTTCGTGCTGTAACTGGTTCTTTGCACCCCCTTTATTTCTTCTCGTTATATTCTTCTTTTGCTGTTCTGAATAGAGGACACAATTGGAGGTTTCTGCTATACTTAATTAGATATATCCGGGCAGAAATCGAACAGTTCTGGGCCCGTTTGATGGTCAGGCCATGTTGAAACAAAAGTAGTTGTTGAAGACAAAAATGGCCTAGCTTTGGGCAATTAATTTCGACGAGAAGTGCCGGATGACTAGTGGTCCGAAATTGAATTGCTTAATTAGTGCTATTCGAACGGAATGGGTACCTAGCGAGCATTCGCTCGAGATGTGAAAGTACGAAGATGGTATTGCGCTGCTGTCGGGCCTCGTGTTCGCTCAAAAAGGTGAACAAACCGACGTGTAATAATTTATGTTAATTTTATCTGGCGTCTAGTCTCTGGTTTTATTTAATAACAACAAATCGTGTTATGGTGTTAGGCGGCATTACGCAATCGGGGCCGACCGGCTTGATCGCACAGCATCCATCTGGCTAATTTTAGACCTTGGAGTCATGCTGGAAACATGCTTGCCAGCCAGCCAGCAATGCCATCAGATAAACATTTCGTGAACCAAACCAGATGGGCGAAAACGGCTTTTTCCAAGCGCCCCGATCCACTCTTTTCAAATAGTTAATGACAATTGAATGTGGTGCAATTAGTCGAGCACACGGCGTTCATTAAATATGTATTCCGATGTCGGCCTTGCCCCTGATGACTTCCAATTATCGTGACGAGATACCAGACTATCGAATCGGCCATTATGGTCATCTATTATGCGCTCCGTCACCGCGAATGGCTTTAATTGTGATACCGTGTAAGATTTATGTTTGGTTTATTGAATAAGAACCCGTTTTCGGTTGGGAAATTGCAATAATAGCCGTCTGATTGAGTTGCTATTGCTTGAAACACTTCTGGACGCTCATCCATTCTCTTTGTCCCGCTCAGACTGACAAAACATGACCAACATGTGGGATTTTCAAGTCATTTCATAGTTCTGTGTCTGCGGGACGCATCTGACCAACTGTTGGCGTCGCGGCCAGACGCAAACCGAGAGGAAGACGTCGTTTCCGCCCTTTCCATGCGAGATGACGTATCGCCGTCGTTTGTAATTCTGCAAGAAGGTCACCTCCAGGCCAGATGTGAAAGGGTTATTCTCAACAAGTTTTATTCCGCTCAACACACACAACTATTTCAGTCTGATTTGTCGAAGGATTCGTATAAAATTGATGTTAGTGCCTGCGGGTTTGGACTTTGCAGTATTTGACTTTCAAAGTGATCGAACTTTGCAAATCTCCCATTTGTCTGAAGGAGCTC